GTAGCCAAAATTCTATAATCTCTATACTTATGATAACCTATGAGGGTAGTTTATCCTTTGGAGCACCGAATTAGATATCAACTATGGTTAGTAAGATCTACAAGCTAAGTTGTAAAGATTAGATAAGTCTTGAGGGTCTAGAAGCCCAACTAAATAAAGTAAGGGCTTATGATACCTCTAGGTGCCCCTTGCACTGCCTCTCAATGCCCTGCATGACTTCAGAGATGTCACCTCCCAACGTCATCTCAATTCTCATTAATCCTAATCTATGGATCTGATGGAGGAATTCTATGTTTCATGAGTAAATAAAATGTATTGAGATTAATTGTCATTACATCCGAAATAAGATAATATTAGGTGTTATCTCTACTTCGCACGTTATCTCATCTCATCAGCTCACAATCGTCTTCATTAAGAGTCTTGTTTGAAGTGTATGCTTTAGCTCGAGGGAGAGTATTAGAATAAGCCCACTAGACTCACCAAGCCTATTTTAGACTTATTCTTTCCACATCTATATTCTTCTTCCACAATCTCTACTTTATCTTTTTCTCTCTCTTTTTTCCCTTCTTTTATATAACTTTATGTACTCCTTTTTTTCAATCAATAATTCTAAGGTTTTCACATTTTTTGTCAACACAAATTATATTAAATTAAATGAGAAAATAAAGTTTAACCTAAGATAGATTGATCCAATACATTCTTAAGCTATGACAAACCATCACTAGGTACCAAAGGCGCGCTAGCACAAGGGCAATCATAATCACAATTACTACTGTTGGTGGTTTAAAGACAATCTCTCATATTGTGTCAGGGATTAGGTGTGACAACTAGAAGAAAATGTTCTGAAAAAAAACTAAGGCCACCTTGCTCCAACTATTGTGCCTAATAAGTACTGTCTCTCACCTCAAAGAATTCAAGTGCATATTTATTGCAAAAGATGACAAAGTATGTAAAAAGTTTTCTTTTAAAATTAGTATTTACATAAAAATTTAATAATATCTGATCATATATATTTATAAATATAGTTAATAAATTTTTCTTCACTTTTTAAATTTATTTAATAGGTGTAAGAAAAAATATGCAAACAGATGATCACAATAACATAGAAACTCAATTTATAAATATTAGTAAGAGCAAATAAAAGAGAAATCACAAAGCTATAAAGAATCATAATAAGAACAAGCCTTTTACCAAAACACCGCAAATCCATATCTCAACACACTTGAGAGAGAGGGAGAGAAAGAGAGATAAAGAGAGAGAAGGGAGAAATCTGAAGAAGAATAATATATTCTTCATTCATTGTCCATAGTAATCACAAAATAGGAAATGTCTTATTTATTGACAAAAGGAAAAGGTAATTGTCCCCCCAAAATGAGGCATTCTTGACTTGTGTGGGTGAGCCCACACATCTCGAAGGTGATGGTTTCAACATCCCTCATTTCCTACTCTCTCTCCCTACATGACCTAGGTCGATATGGATGAGGTGACAACTGTGACACTGCCCCCCACTCCTTGCATGTCCCTTGAATTAGTCAGATGAGAAGAGACTCCTCACACATCTCCTAAATGAGTCAAATGTAATGGGCTAACACCACCATCAAGAGGTTCTAGTCATCATACATATTGGCTAATCTAGCTGCTAGACCAAATTCTACATGCCTTGCTCATCAAACTTCATTTGATAGTCTCTATATAAACTAAATTAGTTTTTATGATGAATTAATCAATCTCCTTATATTCAACTTAAGATTTACTTCTATACTAATATTTTATTAAGTCTTAGTTACAAATATGATTAAATAATGTGCATTTAAACACAACGACAAGTGCACATCACATACTATCCCAAACCAATGGTTAAGTTGAGGTATGCAACAAAGAGATCAAGAAAATTATCAAAAAAGATCATTCGGCCAAATAGGAAGGACTAGGCAAGTAAGTTTTATGATGCCCTATGGGCATATAGAACCACCTACAAGAGCCTTTTGGAGATGTCCCCATATAGGCTTATATAGAAAAGCTTGTCATCCTCTAGTTGAGCTTGAGCACAAGGCATATTGAGCTATTAAGAAGCTCAATCTCTCATTAGATGAGATCAGAAAGAAGAAGATGCTTCAGCTTCATGAGCTTCTAGAGCTAAAGAATGAAGCATTTGAGAATTCAGTCATTTTTAAGGAGAGGATGAAAGGCTTCCATGACGAGCCTATCAAAAGGAAGGAGTTTCATCTGAATTAGAAAGTATAGTTATTCCATTCTCAACTAAAACTCTTTCCAATGAAGTTAAGGTCTAGATAGGATCGCCCTTTTGTGGTCCTTGAAGCTTATGAAAATGGAACAATTAGGGTTACAAACCCTAATGGTGGCAAAGAATTCATGATGAATGGTCAATGATTAAAACCATATATAGAGTTTGAAACTCAACCATCTCCTACTTTAGAAGACCTTCATGATCCTCCTTGTGACCACCTTTAGATCATATTTTGAGCAATAAGACCATTTAGTTACTTAAGAGCCTCTTGTTTGCTTCATTTATTTTACTTTGCTTTGTTGCTTTTGTTATCCTTATTTTCCTAAAAGGCTACTTAATAACCTAAGGATCTAATAATTATTTTGAGGTTGTAAAGGTCAAGTTAGTAGGTGAAGAACTTCAAGATAGGGCAAACCCAAGAAGGAGTTCACTAAATCTTATTTTTTTTATCTTCTTTTCTTGCCCAATACTAGATATTTTTCTAAGTTGAGTAGATTTTTCAAGATACAATGTTGATCAAGTTGACCTCCTTGAGGTATAAAGAGGTCAAAGTCAACAACAAGGGAACTTAATTAATCCATTATTTGCCCTCTAACTCTTTTTATTTTTCTTGCATGAGGGACCATACATGCTTAAGTAGAGGAGGAGGATTACATTAAATAATATTTGTGTGATTTTATTAAAAAAATTCAAAACTTTTACTATCATTTCATTAATGATGATGTCTTTTTTTGAAAATAAATCTTTGAAGAATCCCACCTTAGATCATTTGTTCATATTAGGTCAAGGAATTTAGATTTAAGAGTTAGACTCTTTGAGTGGATCATGCTCACACTCAAATGAGATGTATATCTAACCATGGTCTAGACAAACTAAGGGAAAACTTGAATGGTTTTTTACGTAGATGGTAGAGAACCTAGTAAAGGGAGAAAGGATTGAAAAATCAAAAAGGTAGAAGTATTATCATATTGTGTGGAGACTTAGTCCCTTTGAAGATATTATTTTCCTTTATTTAGCCAAGATCCTACCTAGATGTCTCAAAGTTCAGAAGTCACTAACTAAGTCTCATCTCATTGAGGTACTAAGTAAGGAGTTCACCAAGTCCTAGGCATAGAACAATTTGTTCTTCTTTTTCTTATCTTATTTTCTCTTATTCATCTATCCACACTATGAGCCTTAATCTTCTTCAGTCATCTATTATCCTTACATCCATCTTGGCAATTTATGCAATTCATCATTTTTTATTCTTTCCATCATATCTTCCCATGACATATATTTATTTTTATTATCTTCATAATTAGGGTTTCTCATGTTCTTATTGTTTATTTCATCTAAATGTCTTGTATGTCTCATGCATTTTTTCTAAAGCCTTTTTTAAAAAAATCAAAAATATATATATATAAAAGAAAATTAAAATAAAGAGAGAGAAAAATTAAAAAAATCAAGGAGATCGTGTTATTTGGGACCTTCTTGTTCTTCTATTTTCCTCTTCTTCTCTACTTAGTAGATATGGAGATGCATGCACTTCTCATTTCACATCTAGTACTCAATACTTACATTAGGTATTTAGTACTATGTTAATTTCATTCCATCTCATTATTATTACTTACTTGCTAAGATGAGTTCATCCACCATCACCATCATTTCTACTTCTATCTTTATTCATCTCCATCAGACTATTTCAATCCACCAAGCTATTTTTATCCATCCAATTCATCACCACATAGCTCTAGACTTAATTCACCACCTATATCCCTTATCCATGGCCTTAAACCACCACTAATACTTTGTCTTTCACTTTCTCTTCATTGTCAGACATCTTTTCACATTCTTTTGAATTTTATGCTCATGAGTAGGAGGTGCTCTTCTTGTAATAGCTCAAGAGGTGGGCATGGGCTTAGTGTGAACTATTAGGTATCTAGGTAGCCACCAAAGAGAAAGAGACTACCTACTTCCTTTGTTGGGAGCCTATGTTACAACATATATTTAAAGGCTCAAGATGATAGTATGATACTTAGAGAAAAGTAAGTTCACATCAACCTTGATTAGCCGCTCATTTATCCTCTATGTAATCAATCAAGTGGATGGTGTTTAGATTAAAGGGTGTGCATGATGCTTTAAACACTTCACTTCCATACTATATTGACTTAGGTGAATGAATGATCTAAGGCTAGACATAATGAATTGTTAAGAGACTAGCAATAATCTAAGTAGGAGGGGGTGATAATATGCTACAACTACTCATTAATTACCTTGAAGTGAATTTATAATGATTTTAAGAAATTTCCCTATTTTATAAATATTTTCAATTTTTTTATGACTTTTTTTGAAATTATTTTGATATATTTAAGTAATTTAGGAATATATATATTATTTCACACATTCTAAGGGATTTTTCGTAATTTTGGTGATAAGAGGAATGCGAGAAGATGTGAACTACTAGTTAATGATTGTGTTGATTATATCAGGGGTTAAAGACGTCTTGTCACTGAAAGTGACGATTAAGTCAGTCTTGTCACCAAAAGTGGTAGTTAAGCACGTCTTCCCACCAAAAATGATAGTTAAGCATGTCTTCTCACCAAAAGCATCGATATTTGTAGTGGTTAAAGATGTCTTGTCACTGTAAGTGGTGGTCAAAGATGTCTCTTCTCAATTGTCACCTTTCGGTGGTCCTTTTGCTGCAAGGACACCTAATCAACAGCCTAGGTTTATCCATCTTCTAGGATCGATATTTGATGATCTAGGTAGGGTTTCAAGCCCAATATTTTTGGACATGATCTTCAAGATGTGTTCTTCATATCTCGATGCTCGGATTGACAAAAAGGTTTCAAGAAGGTTGTGAAAATGAAGGAGAGAAACTAAAGGTATTTTGAGAAAAGACCAAAGGTATTTTGGAAAACTTTACTACTTATATGTATTTCCTTCACTCTCTTTCCTTCATCTTTTTGAAAGGAGCCTAACAATGGTTGGTTGGAGTGAAAGAGCTTATATTCTAAAGATTTATTTTTCTTCCCTTTTTGTGTAATCTTAAGTGATCAAGAGAGGTGACGTGACTCAGTCGTTGTATATTAAATCATGCAAATATAAAATTTATAAAACTAGAAAATACGAAATTTTGGATATTTAGAAGTATTTCTAAATAAATATATCAATTATAATTCAATCAAAATTCCAAAAATAGTAGTAATTTTCCAGGTCGATCATAGGGATGTAATATAATATCTGGTAATTATTCAGAATTTTTCTCAATGAATACAATTTTCTTACGAATTTTATACTAGGAAATAAAAAGAAAATATATTTAAAATTCACAAAAAAAAGGAAATAAGGGTGCGGATGTCAAGATGACATCAGTGCTTGGCGAACGCGAATTAGGCGGAAACAGAGTTCTGCCCGGTGATTCTTACGTAGGCAATTATAGACGACTCAATTAATCAAATTAAGATCTGTAAAAGTCGGAAGAATCGTAATTGAACGAAGTATAGTTTGGTAAATTAAAATCAACAAAGTATCACTAAATGAAGCGTAAATTAAAGTGAAAGTAGGAAAACAGAGTTCCGGCGTCGCGACGGTGATGCATCGGCGATGCACCGGAATCTTGAGCGTTTGGGAGGATCGTCGTGCAGTGTCCACGACCTCAAAGGCTCTCCTTGGACAAAGATGACGTGGGCAATCTCTAGATCTTCTCGCGAAGTCTAGAGATCAATGAAGTGGGTCGTCAAATCGTCTCCGGCGGCTGTCACCCGGCAGAGCGGAAAAATGGCGACTTTGCGGCTCTCCGGCGGCTGTCACCTGACGAAGAGGAGCTGGATGGAGGTGGGGCGCGTGTTAGAGAGCTTCATCCTCAGGTCCACGCAGCAAGAGGAGGCTCTTCATTGCATCTGGTATGCTCTCAGGAGGTGGCGACTGGTCTCCTGGCGGATCGTCCTCTTCCCGACGACGGCTTGTTCGTCGATCAATCGGAGATGATTTACTCGATAGATTCGCGATCCTTTTATCGCAAATCGTTCAGCAATTTTAGTAGCAATGCTCTACAAATCGCATTGACAAGATTTTCGCCGATGATCCAGTGATTTTCGTTGCTTAATCCTTCCCCGACAATCTGTAGGAAAGTCGCGATAATCAAATAAAAATATATGAATTTTGACTCTAGAAGGATTCGAACCCGCGCCGGTCGCCCGCCTCTTTTGATGAAGGTGTGACGGGGGTTTAGTCCCACATCGGTTGCCGATTTTTCGGGCGAATATATAGTAATGTTAGCTTTGTGAGCAAAGTCCCTTCTCTCGCGTGTATGACCACTCCTTGCCCCACAGCCGGCTGGGCACCGGTGACGTGGGAGAGGAGTGGCGTACGCGTGCCCTGTCGGTCCCCAAGCCAAGCCGCTCGAGCCCCTGCTCGCGGCTTGCTCCCCGATTGCGCTTCCGACCCGCTTGTGGGCCCGACTGGTCAACAGGTCCCCCACATTTTTGTAATATTTTTATTTTTATGTCTTGTTCTTCATTTATCTCAAAAGTAAGACTGTAAAAATCGTATAAAATCACATAATTACCCAAAAATTCACATTAATCAATTGAAAACCAAAAATCATTCTTTAACACAAATATAAGTCTAATTATCATGTGTTAAGGCTAAAACTATATTATTTACTAATTATTAACTCATGATAATGAAGACTTATCACACCCCCCAACTTAAATCATTGCTAGTCCCTTAGCAATGGAATTACGAGAATAAAATTTTACAAATCTCAAACATCATATTTCAATACAGAAAAAAATAATAAATAGAAGTGATGCACCATTAAACACTTTGAATTCTTATATCAAATATTTAAGAATGATTCGAAGCACTTAAATGTTTAAACACTCCTTGGAATAACAATCTAGACTTCATTTCTTCTATCCACATCTTTATCACTTCTTCACTCATAGATGTATTTACAAGATGTTCCAATTATCAATACTCATCCAAGAATAATATTGATCTTACATTTCCCTTTTTCTATGACTTGATTTTTGAAGTTTGCACTATATTTCTTCCTTTTTTTTTCTTTTTTTTATTTTTATAAATAGTGGATAAGTAGCTTTTCCTATAGACAAATTTCGACAATAAAAATGATGTCTCATACCCTCTATGTGTACTCTTCATTTTCAAGGCTTTCACTTTATCCACTTATTTTTCAGCAAGTGTTTTTCTATGCACGGTTTTCGACAATGAGAATGATGTCTCACACCCTCCATGTGTACTCCTCGTTTCTAGATTTTTTACATTGCTCTTTCTTTTTTTTTTCTTTTTTTTTCGAAATAAGTGATTTCTCCTCACAAGTCCTAAATCAGGGTGCAAAAATCTCCATTAAACTCAAATGATCAATCAAATTTTCACATCAAGTAAATACTATCCATCAAGATCATGAAGTGAAAATCTGTAAAATCAAATCCATGTTATCTATCATGTATCTAAAGAGTATTCCAACATTTTATGCTACTAGATCATTCTTTTGACTCAATAATAATCTTCCTAGTATCTTTTGGTATCAATCAATCTAATTGATTTAATTTTTTATGCATGTAATATGATGTAAGGAATTTGTAAATTAGATAGTTTTGACAATTCCGTTTTCTGTTTTCAGTTCTATTTTTAGCAGCAATAAATTTATCAAAAATAAATCAAAACTATCTTCTTTATAGCTGTAATTTTGAATTTCAATAATATATATCTAGGGGATTGAAATGTGAGAAAAGGGTCTTCTAGAATTTTAAATTTCAGGCTATTTTTTGTCTGCTATTTTTGACAGCCTGTTGTTTCTGACAGAAAACCAAAAAATAGTATTGCAATTTTTCCGAATTTTATTTTAATTTTATTTTTTTAGTTGCTGTTCTAAGTTGAATAAAATGCAAACACATGTTTTTAATCGTCCTACAGCATAAATTAATAATGAATACTTCACCCCCCAACTTAAAAATGACATTGTCCTCAATGACACAGAAAACTCGAAACAGAATATGTAGAAAATATAATTTTCAAGTGAAGCATGCATATCAACAAAGTTAAGCATTAAAAATAGTTTCATTAATGATGAAGCTCAAAAAGACATCACCTCAACCTCATTTTTAATTTGCCACTTCATCTTACACTCCTCCTCCTACACTTTTTCAAAAAAAATAAATACAAAAACAAGTACTGCAAAATTCTAAGAAAAATAGAGCTTAAAAAAAATCAAACATAATGAAATAAAAACCATGGGTTGCCTCCCATGCAGCGCTGAATTTAATGTCTCCAGTTGGACTCCTTGGTCTTACTCTTGAATTTCTTTTAATAATAAAATTTCTTTTTCTGCAAGGCGTTCATGTTATATGTAATGTGTAAGCCGCTGTCCATTTACCTTAATGTTATGATCACTTTTAGGATCTTTAATCATTACATCCCCATGATCATATGTCTCTTCCACCACATAAGGCCCTTTCCATTTTGATTTTAATTTTCCTGGGAATAATTTCGGCCTAGAATCATATAACCACACTTTTTGTCCAATATCAAATTTTTTTCTGCTAATATATTTATCATGAAAAGTTTTAGTTTTTTCTTTATATATTCTATGATTTTCATAAGCTTCATTCCTCAACTCCTCTAATTCATGTAGCTGAAAAATTCTATGCCCACCAGCTAATTTCTCATCCATACATAAATTTTTTATAGCCCATAATGCTTTATGCTCTATTTCCACAAGAAGATGACATGGCTTTCCAAAAATGAGACGAAATGGGTACATACCTATGGGATTTTTATAAGCTGTTCTATAAGCCCATAATGTATCTTGTAATTTTGTGGGCCAATCTTTCCTATCTGGTCTAACTATTTTTCTCAAAATTCTCTGAATTTCCCTATTTGCTACTTCAACTTGCCCATTTGTTTGGGGATGATATGGAGTGACTACTTTGTGGTGTACTCCATTCTTTTTCAACAGTTCCCTGAAATGTTTATTTGTAAAATGTGTTCCTCCATCACTAATAATCACTCTAGGACATCCAAATCTCGAAAAAATATTTTCCTACACAAATTTCATCACGATTTTATGATCATTAGTTCTAGTAGGAATAGCTTCCACCCACTTCGACACATAATCAACAGCAAGCAAAATATATTCATATTTTTCAGCGGATGGGAAGGGACCTATGAAATCTATTCCCCATACATCAAAAATTTCGACTACTGACATGTTACTCATGGGCATTTCATCTTTTTTACTCATGTTACCTATAGATTGGCATGAAATACATGTTCTACTAAATTCTATAGAATCTCTAATGATTGTAGGCCAATAAAAACCACACTGGAAAATTTTTGCAGCTGTTTTTCATCTAGAGAAATGTCCTCCACAGTTAGATGAATGACACATGTTAATAATGCTATGATATTCTTCTTCAGGAACACATCTCCTTAAAATTTGATTATTGCCCAAGTAATATAAATCAGGATCATGCCAAAAATAATTTCTAATCTTAGAAAAGAAATAATTTTTTCTGTTCTTATCCCACTATTCTGGAGTTTTTCCAGAAACAAGAAAATTAACAATATGTGCATACCATGGTGATGGTTGATGTTGAGCTACCATCAATTGTTCATTTGGAAATGCATCTTGTAAAGGTGCTACATTTATTCATGTATCACTTAATCTAGAAAGATAGTCAGCAACAACATTCTCGAAACCTTTTTTATCTTTTATTTCTAAGTCAAATTCTTGCAACAATAAAATCCATCTTAATAAACGTAGCTTTGCATCTTTCTTATTTAACAGATATTTTAATGCTGCATGATCAGTATAAATAATAATTTTAGCTCCTAAAATATATGATCTAAACTTTTCTAACAAAAATACTATAGCTAACAACTCTTTTTCAGTCGTGGTATAATTTAATTGAGCATCGGATATAGTTTTACTAGCATATGAAATTACTATGGGTTTTGACTCTTTTGTTTGTTTTAGAACGGCCCCCACTGCATAATTCGATGCATCACACATTATTTCAAAGGGAAGGGACCAATCAGGAGCTTGTAAAATAGGTGCCTCAGTAAGTAATCTTTTTATTTCGGAAAAAGACTCAAAATATTTCTCATCAAAATTAAAAGGCACATCTTTAGATAATAGCATGGTGAAAGGTTTAGAAATTTTTGAAAAATCTTGAATAAATTTTCTGTAATAACCTGCATGACCCAAGAAAGATCTAATCTGTTTTACTGAATTCGGAGGTTTCATTTTAGATATAATATCAATTTTTGCTCTATCCACCTCTAAACCCTTTTCACTCACAATATGACCCAACACAACTCCCTCTTTAACTATAAAATGTGATTTCTCTCAACTCAAAACTAATTTTTTCTCTATGCATTTCTCAAGTACATGCTGTAAATGATTTAAGCATTCATCAAATGATTCACCAAAAACAGAAAAATCATCCATAAAAATTTTCATGCATTTTCCAATCATATCAGAAAAAATAGACAGCATATATCTTTGAAATGTGGTTGGAGCATTACACAGACCAAAAGGCATGCGTTTAAAAGCAAAAGTACCAAATGGACAGGTGAAAGTTGTTTTTTCTTGATCTAAAGGGTTTATATAAATTTGATTATAACCAGAGTATCCATCCAGAAAACAAAAAAAGTTTTTTCCAGCTAATTTTTCTAGAATTTGATCAGTAAATGGTAGGGGAAAATGATCTTTTCTAGTAACTAAATTTAATTTTCTATAATCAATGCAAACTCTCCAACCGGTAGTTAGTCTTGTTTGTATTTTATCCCCATTTTTGTTTTTTATAACCGTGATCCCTGATTTTTTTGGCACTACTTGTGTAGGATTAACCCATTTGCTATCTGAAATAGGATAAATAATATCAGCAGGCAGCCACTTTAAAATTTCTTTTTTTACAATTTCCATCATGTTAGGATTTAATCTTCATTGTGGTTTCCTGCTAGTTCTAGCCCCCTCCTCTAGATATATACTATGCATGCATAGTCTCATATCAATGCCCCTTAGATCGTCCATTTTTCAGCCCATAGCCTTCTTATTTTTCGAAGTACATCTAATAATTCGTCTTCCTGTTCATTACTCAAATCAGCTGCAACAATAATAGGAAATGAATTATTTTCCTCCAAAAACATATATTTTAAACTAGAGGGAAGAGGTTTCAACTCTAAATTCAGATGATCTTCCTCTTTCTTTTCTTCTAAATTTATATTCTCTATTTCCTCTAATTCTTCCAGCACACAGTCATCAATAACATCTGGATCATCAAAATCATCTAGAAGATCTATGGTATGACAATCATATTCTTGGGATTTCTTAAGATCATTTGATACCTCAAAAATTTTAATTTCTATTGATTGATCTCCACATGAAATTTTCGCAATACCTATGGAAAAATCAATATTCATCTTTACTGTATGCAAAAATGGTCTCCCTAGGATGATTGGTGTATCATAAAACTGTCCATTAAAATCTATTTCCAGCACTACAAAATCAACTGAAAATTTACACCATCTAACTGTCACTATCACATTTTTTAAAATACCTTTAGGATGTTTTATGGATCTATCAGCAAATTGTAAGGTAACAGTAGAAGGTTTAAGATCAGAAACATTAAATTTATCACAAATACTTGCAGGTAATAAATTAATACTAGCACCGGTGTCAAGTAATGCATTTTGAAAAATAAATCCACCAATATCACACGAAATTAAAGGGGCACCTGTATCTCTCAATTTAAATGGTAATTGATTTAATAATAATGCACTAGCATGCATAGATAATTTTTCTACTCTAGGTGCCTTTTTTGGTGTACACATTTTTTTCAAAACTCTAGCATATTTAGGAATATGTTCAATGGTAGTGAGTAAAAGAAGACTAATTTGCACATCTTGTAAAATTTTCTTTATTTCTTCATTGTGTTCCTTTTTCTTTCTTTGTCTAGGCTCTAGAGCTTTAGGAAATGGAATGGTTGTCCTCTCTTTCGAAATTTCTTTGGTAGAATCTATAAAATCCTCTTCTACTCCTATTTGATTTTGTTTTGGGTTTTCTTTTTCTTCTAATGTTTGGGGATAAGGATCAGGTAAGATCTTACCACTCCTTAATGCATTCACTGTCCTAACATTTTCATTTCGTGGGTTTTTTCCTAGATTCATGCTACTAGACTCCCCATGCTGAAATCCTATTGTTAGGCGGTTCCCTGGATTTTCTATGGGCTAACTAGGTAGCTGTCCCTCTTCTCTCTTATTCCCAAGGGCCTCTATAATTTGTTTCTGGTGCTGCATCATTTGATTCATAGTTTGTTGCATCATTTGGCTCATTTGCTGCATCATTTCCATAGCATCAGGTTGGGTTTGAGAGGGCTGATTTTTCTGAAATCTATTTTCTTGTTTTGGACGAAATTCAAAGTTTGAATTGAGTCTAAGTGCTTTTAGATTTTGAATATTATTTGGGTCTCTCTATGAAAAATTATTCCTCTAATTAGAATTATAAGAATTTGAAAAATATTCCCTATTTTTATTAAAACCGTGAGCTACTTGCACTTGTTCTTGCATAGGGTGAAATGATTGATCTAAATTATAACATTGAAATTTAGAATAATCATTTTCACCATACATAAGACCTGTACTATTCGAATTAAGTTGAGGGTTAAAAGGCTTTCTAATATTGTCAATAAGTAAATCAATTTTTTCTAATTTTTGATTAATCTGATTAACCTCATTTCTAAGTTTAAAATCATCATCATGATGCAATTTATAAATTTCTCTGTTCTTATCCCTGTCATATAATTCAAAAGAGGCTTGATCTCTAGAATTTTCACTTAAATTCTCATAAAGATTGTAAATCTCATCAGGAGTTTTCTCCATAAAAGCTCTTCCACATATAGAATCAACCATATTTCTATGTTGTTCTAATAATTCATCATAAAAAATTCTATTGAGCTGCCACTTGGGTATAACATGATGATGACACTTTCTAAGTAAATCTTTGAATTTTTCCCATGTCTCATGCAAAGTTTCTCCTGGTCTTTGAGAAAAACTCTATATATGTTTTCTCATATTTTGAGTTTTTCCTAAGGGATAAAATTTTCGAAGAAAAGCTTGTTCTATATCTTTCTAGCTAGTTAATTCTCCATCTAATGTGGATAGCCAATGACTAGCTTTGTCCCTAAGTGTATGAGGGAATAATTTCATCTTAATAATTTCCGGTGTAACTTGAGGGAGATTAACTAAATCACATACCATATGAAATTTTTCTAGGTGCTGATGAGGTTCCTCTAAAGGCAATCCATGAAAATTAGGGAGCATTTGAAAAATTCCTGGATTTATTTCAAATTTAACAGTGGGTGCTAATGGGACTCTAATATTAGATGCTCTTTGAAATGAATCAGGGATATAATGATTTTTCATGGCCATAAGATTGTTCTTAGTTTGACCTGTACTTCCTTCAGGATTCATCAAAATTAATTTTTCTTTCAGATTTTTATTTTTGAATGAAATAATGAAAAGATTTTCTAGCCTTAGATGCAAGGATCTTCTACCATGCATAAAAATCAATAAATTCAAGGGAAAAAGTTAGTAACTGTTACCCTACTTCAGGATGCTCCAGTCCTTGCCATGCTTCTTTCGTTCCCTTTTTCTAATAAAAATCGGCAAAAATAAAACAAGAGTTAAGTTTTTTTTCTTTTTTGTGTACTCTAAGAGAAAATAGAAAAATACTAAATATTATGCAATACATCCCCCGGCGCTAAAATTTGACGTGACTTAGTCTTTGTATATTAAATCACGCAAATATAAAATTTATAAAACTAGAAAATATAATTTTTTGGATATTTAGAAGTATTTCTAAATAAATATATCAATTATAATTCAATCAAAATTCCAAAAATAGCGGTAATTTTCCAAGTCGATCACAGGGATGTAATATAATATCTAGTAATTATTCAGAATTTTTCTCAATGAATACAATTTTCTTACGAATTTTATACTAGGAAATAAAAAGAAAATATATTTAAAATTCACAAAAAAAAGGAAATAAGGGTACGGACGTCAGGATGATGTCAACGCTCGGCGAATGTAAATCAGGCGGAAACAAAGTTCTGCCCGGCGATTCTTACGTAGGCGATTACAGACGACTCAATTAATCAAATTAAGATCTGTAAAAGCCGGAAGAATCGTAATTGAACGAAGTATAGTATGGTAAATTAAAATCAACAAAGTATCACT